TTATTGAAAAATATATGGTTGATAAGAAATAAAGGAAAAATGAATTATAATTTTAATCGAAGGCCAAAAAAGGGCTACACAAATCACAACTTATTTCTCGATTACAAATTATCAAACTAATTAGTCACATATTATTTCTCGATCACAAATCACAAATTTTATAGGCCACAATATATTTATCGGTCACATTCATCAAATAAATGGATCACGTATTATTCCACGGTCACAAATCACAAATTTTATAAATCACAACTTATCAAATTAAGTGGTCACAAGTTTTTTCGAAAATCCTTGTCAAGTGACACGGTTGCTCCCAAAGATTGTCTCTCCTGAACAGGATGCATTTACCCCAGGGATAAGTATTTTTGAGAATATCACCCTTACTCGGGAAATGGTCGACTCTTTGAACAGGAAAATCAGAGGTGGTAATGTTATGCTAAAAATCGACATTGCATTTTTACATGGCAAAGGCTAAAAACCGACATTGCACTACTAGAAATTGAGGCAATAGTAACAGAATTTTACAGACTGATGACTTTCGTTGCTATTATTAACGGAACTACAACAATTTAGCAAAAGATTATTGTTTTTTTATTATTAAAAATTAAATACTAAATTAACGACAGAATTACCAACGGAATACTTTCGTTGGTATAATTTTGTTACTAATTCGTCGATAAAATTTAAAAATAATAAATTAAATAATTTAGTGACGGAATTTCTCAACGGATGATTTCGTTGGAAAAAAATTATTAAAAATGGTAAAATAAATTAACAACGGAAAAATCTATTAGTACATATTGGAAGTAAAATTTTAACAGTATTATATAATTACCAACAAAAAAAATGCGTGGGAAAATTCAAAAAATTTCAATTCCCACCTAAAATTTGACTTACCTCTAAAAATTTCATTTCCCCCCGTCCAATTCCCACTCAAATATTTCATTTCCTCCATAAATGACTGTCGCCCTTCCTCTCTATCATTTCCTCCACAAATACATTGTCTTTGATTCTTGGGCTCCCATTCTCGAATAATTCATTTTTTACCTCTGGATTTATGGTTCTGTTCTGCTCTCTCTCTCTCTCTCTCTCTCTTAAAGGTTCTTCTATTTTGACTAAATCTATGCCGGATTTTTCGTCTGCTTTGCGGAAGGAGAACTGGAAACCAGCATCAATCCTTCCTCCGGTGGAAGAGAAAATGTTGAGAACTCCACGGGGGCTGGATTTCATTACTTTATAGCAAGATTATTCATTATTGTCTTTCTTTCGGCGGCAAGTGGTGAAAAATTGTGAAAGAGAAAGTGAGTACTGATTTCGATTTGGAAGAAATGGGGTAGGTCGGGTTGCCGTGAGATGGATATAAAATGATTGAATTTGTGGGTGTATATACAGTGAGCATGTTTATATACCCAGAGAGTGGGAGGCTTTATGGAAAATTGGGAGGAGGGAGTAAATCGGTGAATTCCTGTGAGAAGAGGAGTGGTGGAATAATGACTAGGAAGAGGAGGCTTTATGGAAAATTAGGACTTTCTTACTGATTTCTCTCAATTGATTGATTGAGTTTCTTTGGTTTAATTTTTAGTATTTGATTCTTTATTTTTTAATTCCATTGCACTTTGGCTTGAGAGTTTCTGTTTTTAGGTATTAATTTTGTACAGAGTGGAATGTATTTTGTTTGTGAATTAACATGATCTTGATTATGTTAGTGAGGGAGAAAATGGGTTTGAGCCCAATTTTTTCTCATTCCATTACATTAAATTTTTCTCTTTTCATCTCAACTATACATTTTCAAATAAAATAATATTACACATAAATTTAAAACTTTTTCATCACACATTTTGTAATACTCCAGACTAAGAAAGTTTAAGAGATTTGATAGGTACTACTCATATCACAAGGTGCATCTTCTTTTCCGGAAGTCCATCGTTAGAAATTCTACAGTTAAGCGTGCTTGGCTTGGAGCAATTCTATGATGGGTGACCCCCTGGGAAGTTTTCTCGGGGAGCGTGCGAGTGAAGACAAAACATGCTGAAAAGACTCATGTTGGTACAGTGGGGACAGTACGTCGTCGATCTAACGATCGGGACAGCCCGTTAAGTGGGACCCGGGTCGTTACACATTTTTGCATCAATCACTATTCTACAAATTTTCAACCCCAAAAAATGGGGGCCAAATAGGCTTTTAGTGTTTACATTTTATTGGATCTTTTTTTAAACTTTAATATGTGAAGTTTTCAGGAAAATAATTATTAAAATAATAATCATAATTTTTTTTAAGATTTAATTCAAATTAGCGACGGAAATTTGTTGGTAATCATCAACGGACTTAATCTGTGGATAATTTGCAACAAATAAATTTGTTGCTAATTAGCGATAGAAATAGTCGTTAGTAAACACCGACGGGTTCTTTCGTTGCTAAATTACTGATGAACTAAGTAATTTGTCACTAAATTAGAAGCGGGGGTATCAATATCGGATTTTCCGACGAATCAATTTCGTTGTTAAAAGCTGTTAGCGACGAAATTTAAGGCATCAGCAACGAAAATTTTCGTCTCTGAAGCTGCATTTTCTTGTAGTGGCTTATGATAGAGTAGATTGGAGGTTCTTTTTGCGTGTTCTTAAAGTGTTTGGTTTCTCTAAAAGGTTTTGTGATTTGGTGGCCGAGTGTGTTATCACTCCTTGGTTTTCAATAATGATGAATGAGACCTATAAAGGTTTCTTCAAATCAAGTAGAGGGCTCCGTCAAGGTGACCCTTTGTCTCCTTATTTGTTCATCATTATGGAAGAGGTTTTATCATGTCTTTTACGTAAAAGGTATGATGATGGCAGAATTGGGAGATTCTATCACCCTGTTGGGGCCTCTTTAGTTTCACATCTATTATATGTCGATGATGTGGTAGTGTTTACGAATGGAGGTAGAAAATCTATGAAATTGCTCATGAAATACTTATGAAAAGTGGTTGGGACAATTGATACATATTGAGAAATCGACTATTTTCTTTTCTACAATGATCAGCTATACAAGGAAGAGAGGTTTGCTTCGGTTAACTGGTTTTAATGAGGGGCATTTTCCAATGGTTTATTTAGGAGTGCATATTACCTCTGGTCATCTTACGGCTAGATATTTGGAGACTTTGGTTTCCAAAATTTGCACCAAGATAGCATGTTGGAAAATGAGGCTACTTTCTCAAGGGGGTCGTCTTATTTTAGTCCGTCATGTTTTGTCTTGTATGGCGACACATTTATTGGATGTGGTTAATGTGCTGAAGACAGTTCTCAATAATATGAACTCTTTATTATCCACATTCTTTTGGGGTGAGAGTAATGGAAAATGGAAAAAGAAATGGCTTGCTTGGTCTACAATTCGCATGCCAATTACAGAGGGTGGACTTGGGGTATGTGATTTTGTTGCAGTTCAAATATCTCTTCTTATGAAATTTGTATGGCATTTTATGACTACTAACAGTTTGTGGTCTAGTTTTCTTCGTGCCAAATATGTAAAGAGTGGACATCTTTTATTGAACTCTAATGATAAAGGATCCAGTTTGTGGAAATCAATCGTAAAGGTTCTACCTAAGGTATATGAGAATTCGAAATGGAGGATAAAAGAAGGGTCAACATCCTTTTGGTATGATCGTTGTTAGCCAGTGGCCCTTCAAGTGAGTATGTTTTGGAGGTAACTAACCCAAGACTTCAGGTTAGAGATTGTTGGATTGAAGATGGCTGGGATTTCACTTATCTTAAAGAGCTAGTAGGTGAGACGAAGGCAGCAGAAGTAGGTCAAACCATTGAGGCTGGAAAAGAAGGGAGTGGTATGATCATATGGAAGCCGAATGACAATGGAGAATTCTCAACTTCAAGTGCTTGGGGTATTGTAAGGGTGAGGAGTACAGAGATTACTTAGATGAAATGGATATGTCACATATTTTTACACAAAAAAGTGTCTGTTTGCATGTGGAAAGCTAAGTTTAATTGTTTAAGTGTAGACTCTAGGTGAGATCAACAGGGGTTGCTCTAGTTTCACGTTGTGATTGTTGTGATGAGGGACAAGTGGAAACACTTGATCATGTGCTCAACTTTGGTGATATTGCTAAAGCAGTTTGTTAATGGGCCTCCTTGGCCTTGGGAGTGCACTACTTGGAGTCACAATCATGGTGGACAAGAGCTAATCAATGGTTTACATATGCAAAAAATGTTTCACAGCGTGGAATCTTAATTGGGCTATTACCAAGTTTGATAACATGGAAGCTTTGGGGACGTTGATGCAACGCGCGTATGGAAGGGAATCGAGAATCTGCGGAGGAGTTAGGGCTTGCTATAAAGGCTTGGTTACATCTCCTTGCTGAAGAAATAGTTAAAGAAGCTAAGCAAAACAGACTATGAACTTCTCAAAGCTTTAGAGCTGCCTATGGGTTCTAAGGTGAGTAAACCAACTCTTTTAGTTTCTTGGAGATAACCTGTTGCTGGTTGGGTAAAACTCAATGTAGATGGAGTTGTGTTGGTAATCCAGGACCTTGTGGAGGTGGGAGAGTGATTATGGATCATTATGGTAATTTGGTTGTTGGTTTCTGTGTTAAATATGGTTATGGAAGCAACAATGAAGCGGAATTGCATGTTGTCATTACTGGGGTAGAGCTATGCAAAGAGAAGGGTTTTCAACGGGTAGTGGTAAATTGGTTAACACACCGTTTATGTAAGATTTGTTATTTGTGGGATTATTGGGATGAGTTATGTAAGATTATTGGGATAAGTTATTAAAATTGGTTAACGGCATCAGTTTCACTATCTCTCATCAGTATAGAGAAGCAAATAGAGCAATTGATCTTCTAGCCAAACAAGGGGCGGATGGTCTCACGATGAGGTACGTGCACTTAGACCAAATACCAAATTTGTTAAAAGGTATTATTTGTATGGATAAGTTTGGTTTTCTCAACATTAGGCAACAGTAGTATGGTTGATATGTTTGTTTTTACTTACTTGATTATGGCCTTTATGGCTTTTTGGCTCTTATGTTGTTTTGTTGGATTTGTCGCTATGGTATTCCTTTGTCATAAGTGATGGGTGATTGAATAAGTTTTCATTCAAAAAAAAAAAAAAAAAGAAGAAGAAGAAGAGGAAGAAGTGGTCACAAGTTATTTCTGGTCCCAAATTATCAAATTAATTTGTCACACTTTAAGTCACATTTTAAATCACGATTACAAATTTAATTGCATTTCACACCTTTTTAAATCACATTTTATTTATTCGTCACAAATTATTTATTTTATAAGTCACATATTATTGGTCACAAATTAACAATTTTATTGATTACAATTATCCAAATAATTGGTCAAAAACACTCTTCATCGCACCCCCACTCCACTCCACCTATGTCGTCGCTGCCGCCATCGTCGCCACCATTTGTGACCAGCACCAACACCATCTCCTCATTACCATCATCGCTTGCACAACCACTACCAGCACCTCAACATCACTATCAGCACCACCACTACGCACGTTGTCGCTACATCCCACCCCACAATCGTTGCTCCAACCATCATCATCATCATCACCTCCACCTTCACCTCCACCTGCAACTCCAACCAATCACAACTTAACTACCTCCGCCTGCATCAGCAACCATCATCAACGCCTGCTAAAATTCACCATCTCTTACACCTCTACCACACCACACTACACTACACCACAGCTGGCACCACCAACAAAATCCCCAAACCTATCACCACCATCGCCATTTGCACTTTCAATACACTACAAATCCATCTCCAACTCCTACCATCGTAAAATCAGAAAAAGACAGAGAAATGAGAAAACTATATTTTTACAACTTCGAGATGAGGTGATTGACGACGCTGCTTTGAATAAGGTGTCTGGAGAAGTTGATCGTCCCTACACGAAGCAACGACGCTGCTTTGGAGAAGGTGAGCGTCGTTGATTCCACTGTTTTGTGCGCTAGCGTGTGTGAGAGGGGATGGTGGGTTGGTATATTGAATTGGGTGAGATTTTTAGGGTTTGGGTGGGTATGGTTTTTAGTTGAGGGATTGCTATATAATTATATATGTTTTTAAATTAAAAATAATAATTGCAACCCGATTTTCAAAAAAAAAAAAAAAATAGTTATAACTTGATGTTTGAAATTGAATATTTAAATGTAGGCGTGGCTGTAATTTCCATATTTACAAATTCGATTAACGTCTTTTATAGATCTATAGTCTTTTATTTAAAGACTTTTATAGAATTCCAAAGACTTTTATTTATAAATTTTCATTTTAGAAAAAAAAAAATATTTTATATAAAGTTGTATGCCTATAAAAAACTTATTGCATTCTTGTTTTATTAAATTACTTATTTCTGCAATACAATGTAATATTATCTTGAACCATTGATCAAATCATTTAGAATGCGTAGTAACAAATTATATGTTACATGTCTATAAAAATATATTTCAAAATATAATAAAAAATACATGTTTAATTAACTAAATAAACAAAAAATATAATAATTCAGAACTAATTATGAATGAAAAAAAAAACCTATAAATGTTCAGTATTATCATTATGTCCCAACATGTGGAAAGTTATGAAATTAAACAATCAATTAATATATAAAAATTAATCACAAATTAACATTTTTTTAATAAAATCTTATTAAACTTTAGCTATTGATTTTTTTTTGTAGAAATAGCTCATAAAAGGAAAGAAATAGAAATATTGAAGAGGGAAATAAAAATTGAGTATGTCCAATCATGCCATTAGTACAAAAGATAGGGAGATAAACGTTTAGCACTTGGAATGGAAGATGAAATATGGAGAGTTGATACAATTAAACAATTAACTTATGTGTCCATTTCGAATTACTGGTCTCGTTGTCATGTGATTCAATTTTACAACCTTAAAAGTAAAGGGACATCAATGAGGACATTTTCCTCAATCTTATTAGATAAAATAGGCAATACATAAAATAAAAGCAACATGAAACTTCGTGAATTCGCGATATATGACACTCTAAAAGTGAGAAAATGAATCGTATATACTATTTGAATTTGTTAATAATGTTTAGTTTTTGAATCTATTACTTACTCTCTACAAGCTTTATCAACTTCTTCTTAATTCTTTTTGCACTAATCTCATATCAACTAGTCTTTTTTGTCAAATTAGGTAAAATTGACGAGAATTGTTAGTCCACCCAACACTTTCTTTCTTTCTTTCTTTTTTTCACAAATTTCGTGCAATCTGAAAATTCTCGACTAGGCAAAGTCGTCGAGAATTTTTAGTCCATTTTGATACTCCTGTTTTTTGCACAACTTTAAACTATCTAGACATCATCGCCAAACTATTCAAGTTTATTTAGACACACTAGTGTTCGTCAACTTTTTCTATATTGCCTACAAAACATTTTAATTAAATGGCACTACAGTCATTTTACATGATTAAGGGTGTGTTTGAGTCACAGTATTTTGGAAAAATCTATTTTGGAATAGTAGATTGATGGAGAATGTGTGGTTAAAAAAGAAAGAAAAGTTATTGATGTGATGGAAAATATTATTTTATTGAAGAATGTATGGTTGCAAATGAATAGAAGAATAAGAATGAAAATTTTAACGTGGGTCAAACAGGGATATATTTAGCCTAAAACAAATAGACAAATTAGAAAAAATTCCCATTAAACTATTAGAATATATTTAGAATGATGAATTAAATAAGATGAGCAGTAATGTGAAAAATAGACATGGTTTATTTATAAAATAAATAAGATTAACATTAATTAGAAAAAATAGACATGGTTTATTTATAAACTCATGAATCTTGTAAATGCTTATATAATTTAGATAACTACTCTAAAAGAAAATCCAAAAGCAATGTTATAAAAGTGGAGTCATTACTAATAGAAATAAAAGTCACAATCCTATTCGTATATATTTTTGTTCTTTGTCTTGTAACTTTTCATTGATCGAGCTTAAGTAGAATAGCAAAACAATAACAAGTATTAATAATGTTGGCCTCAAAATTATAATCAACGAATTCTTCTCACATAATAACGATTTTTTCTTCCGAAGAACACCAAATTAATGCTCAAGTTGGATCAATAAGAGAAATGACTATTTGAAATGAGAATATTCAGATTTCTATATATTTCTACTGAAATCATGGGGCAATTACGTCCTTTCTGTTTATGCCATATGGCAGTCATTGATTAGTGAACTTCTAACTCAATCACTTAACTTTTCACGTTTTATTCATTTGTCCACATTTTTTTCATTAATTGATTATGAAGGCTTGTTTACATTCATATTCATGAGTGTTTTGATAACGGGTTATACTGATTTGAAATAATTCGTCAAATCAGTTAAGTACATTTGCTCATTGTTTTCCCTCGAGATTGATTATAAAGCCTCGCATCACAATTGCTCACTTATTTTATCACGTGCTCGAAAACGGTTTCGGTTCACTTTGAAAAGATTTATTTGACAGAGTCATGTGTTCGCTACTAATCCTTTTTGAATTTTTATTGACAAAAAATTGCATAGCAAAAGTATTTTCTTTAATATATTTGCTCCCGGCAAGTGTAAACTCTGAAAAGAATTGATAATTTCATCTTTGATATAGTATTAATACTATGAAAATAATCTTTTCCATATGAATATGTGTTATAAAATAATGAAAAACAGACAACCACCAAAACAAAGCCACAAGAATCCGTACACGAAACACACTTTTCAACCAAATAATTAAACTGGAAAAGTCCCAAGATTAGTTGTGCAGTTGGGATGATAATGATGGTGGAATATTTTATACTTTCTTTTAATTACCAAAATTAATTTTTATGTGTGGTGATTAAGAGTTTTGTTACATAAATATAATATTTGACATAGGGGATGACACAACAAACACATGGGAAGGTCGGCATTATTTAATGAGTTTTGCTGCACAAACATAATGCTTGACATAGGGGATGACACAACACACACATATGAGGAGGTCGACATTATTTAATTCAGGTAGGGACCAACATGCAATGTGAGTGGTCGGTCAACCCATATTTCAAACATTATGTTCATTTAGCTTAATTCTTATTTAATTCAGGTCGGGACCCACATGCAATGTGAGTAGTCGGTCAACCCCTATATCAAGCATTAAGTTCATTTAACTTAATTTGGTCATTAATATATCTCATTTGGGTTATTCCCCTTTTACAGGGGAATTTTGTACAAGAGGTGTACATGTGCTAAGCTAGCAGCACCTACCAGTGTGGTTGAAATTCTTTTTTTCTTTTATTTGTCAATGCCCGATGGAATAATGCCAAGTTCCTCCTTGCAAAATTGCTTGTACACATAGCACGATTCTTCTCCTTTTGAAAGTGATTTTCCAATTTGAAACAATATAATAAAAATTATAGAATATGATGGGACCTACCTTAATTATCTTTTTTGGGATAAAGGATAACGAAGCTTTTCACTTGCTCGACTGGTCTCACCAATTGGTCAATACCAATTTTTTGGTGAAAAATACATCGACGAGTCTAACTAATTTTGAACAGTACTATGTTAAATTACTTTCAATTTAATACGACTAGATGTTGAATTAGATCTTCAAAGGGTCTTGTATCTTTCACAATTTAAATGGTAGAAGGTTAGTTAATTAAGTCAAAGTTTAGTTCTCTTTTATTTTTCTTTTTAAGACGTACGTCGTAAAGAAAAACTTATAAATCTTGAAAATTAATAAGGGGGAAATATAATTTAACTATGGAAATTTTTTTAGTGAAATATGTTAAGATTTGAGGTCCATCTTAAAATGTCAACCTTATTAAGAGGAATAGATCAAAATCTTTATTAATTGGTCTGTGTCAACATCATTTATCGATGTGGGATATATATCTCTTAACACGCCCCCACAAGATGGTGNTTTTCTTTTTAAGACGTACGTCGTAAAGAAAAACTTATAAATCTTGAAAATTAATAAGGGCGAAATATAATTTAACTATGGAAATATTTTTAGTGAAATATGTGAGAATTAATACATTAAATAACATAATTTTATTAGTGTGTTCATACGTTTGGTAGATTTTGAAATTTAAAATTCTCAGTCATTGGACCACAATTTGCCACTAAATTGTAGAAAAAGACAACGATGAACTCCAATGAATATAACTTAATTAATTACTTGAAAATGACGTTTAAACAAATATAAAATTTGAGTATATTAATTTCAAGGAAGTTAAATAATCGAAGTCTTGCTTATGGTGACATAAATGATTTAGTACATGAAAATTCGACCGCCGATAAATAAAGAATTAAGCAGCTATATAGGCTTTGATACTCTCCAAATCAATAACTACTTCTACGATATAATTATATAATTTACTTAGACCGTTAAAAAATTAAGGCTACTGTCATATTCTACATTTAGCCCCTGTTTGATGGAGATTAAAATCAGATTTCGAATAGATTTTGATAGAACACGATGAAACGTGTGATCGAAAAGTTGTGGGACCCATTTAATATGTGTTTAAAATTAATTATTGACTTTGACTTAAATTAAAATCTAGATTTTAATTTGTATTGAACATGGGCTTAATAATATACACGTACTAAAAAATGAAGAATTAAGATTGTTTTAGAAAAAAAATTGTAGCATGTGAATTAATATTGGAATATGGGTTGTTAAAGTTTATGCAAATCATGAATTAGTTAAATTGAATATTTGTATGTGGACATAATTACATTACATTAGATATAGAAACATCATTTAACGTGCCGATTAAGATAAGTACGAGTGACAATCAAGTCCGCACTTAATCATGTATTGAAAAGTTAAGTTTTGACCGCTCATATCCAAGCAATTGTAATAAAGTTCTTAGTAACAATCTCTGAAGTTTCGGAGACAATGCAAAGTCGATCAACTTTACTCTTACGAGCCCTAGCGACCAAGCTCAGTGGTTTCAATTTCGATCACATTAATATTCTCGAAAACTTAATAAGTCTTTCGAATCGAGTATAATGTATCTATTTTTTTTTTATTTTTTTTGAAGTTGCTACGAAAAATTACCTTCTATAAGTGTGTTAGAAATTATGTGCCACTTATTTCATGTGCATGGATTTCAAAAATCAAAAGGAAGTTAACGTAATCAACACTAGATTTTAACAATCAACGAAATAGAATCCCATTAATAATATTTCCTATAGTATTTGCATATTTCTTATATAGGCAATGAATGCTTATACGCAAAGAAGATTGTGAAATATTAATTTAATTAGGTAATTTGATGCAATTAATGCAAATAGATAACGTTGGAAAGCAAAATAAGGAGAAAATCGTGACCATATATAATATTTCATTAATGCTCATGTCCACTGTATTTTAATTTTTACAAATTGAACATTTTAATTGAAAAATAATTTTACCATGTCTTTCATTAATTCTTATACAAAACAATGTGAAAACTCGAATTTTATGCAGAAAACCACGTGATTATAGAAATTGTAATATTACAAAAGACAGTTGTTTATACTTTCCCTTTCACACTTCTACGAGGACGATTTTATTCAAACATGTGAAGAGATCGTCGATTCAAATGAATGCACGATCCTGAAATGACTCGAATCACGATATCTTAAACGTCAATGGATCCCCACTCGCTCTATTTCTCTCTTACTCGCTTAGCACATTTGAAGTGTTATGATTTGAGTGATGAATCGTAAGTGTGTGTACATTCGGGGGTCAAATATGAAAAAGAAGTTTAAAATTTGATTACAGTGAGAAATGAGCTGTTGAGGATGGAGTAAAGAGTAGAGACCCCACCCCCACCACCCTACACCCACAAATATATATACATGTATGTATCTGTATACATAGAGGAAATTTAAACATCGTATACCATTATACCAACCCCATATTCTTCTCTCTCATAAGCAATAAACAACCATAAATGCTATCGAGACCTCTCAATTCGCTCTGCAATAACTCCTCCACTGCGGCATCTTCACTACTTTTGCCCTTCCCTTCTTCCTTCTTCATCTCCTCCATCACCCTCTCTTCTCTCTCTCTCGATATTTATCTGCTCTTATTATCTTTCCCTATAATTTCCATGTCCCCACTATTCTTCTTAAATTCGATTCACAAGAAAAGCGTTCTTTGCAGTAAACCTCAAAACCATTTTTCACAGTGTTAATCAAATTCTGCTTTTTCATCAACCCTTTGACCTTAAAACCAGATCTGACCTACTTTGCTTGTCTCTAACCCTAAAACCTGAATATGGTTTTCTAGGGTTTCGATCAACTTTCAAGAGCAGTGAGTCAAACACAAACACACACACACACACATATGTGTATATGTTGTACTGTTTGTTTATTCCAACTTCAGTTCCATAAAACCATGATTTTCACCTTGCCGAAGTAATTGAGTTTCTTGGTAACCTAATCTTGTTTTATCCTCCCTTTTTTTTTTTTGCAGAGAGAGAGAGAGAAAGAAGAACCGAGTAAAACTCTACGGTCACATTCGTGGGCGTTAAATAGAAATGCCAGATTGAAAACTTTGCCAATGTCAAAGGCTTCACACTCTGACAACTCCGTGTTGCTCATTTTAGTTCTTTAATGGGCATGTAAGGACAGATGAAAAAAAGTCTTGTTTGAAAAGCCACTAACCAAAATTTAGTAATTTTCAGTCTGTTCTTGTTACATGTAACCATCCCATTTGTTTTTTTCAACGCGCTACGTACCTTCTAAAATCAAAAACCAGAACCAAAACCAAAAAGCTAAACCCAGTTTTAGAGGGAGAAATATAAAAGAGACAGAGAAGTTTCTAGGGTTTCTTGGTGAAGATGATGTGCAGCTTCAAGGGCATACAAGGAGGTCTCACGGCATGAATTTTTTCAGTCTAGTGTGAAAACTTACAAGGAAAAAGGTCAGTGGATAAAAACTTTAAATTTTGCAAACCTAAAATTTCAGTGTATGTAAGAATTCAAGATACATATATTGACTTACCCTTATCATATCATTTTTACATTATTCTTTCTCAAGATTCATACAGAATTCTGATGAACGGTATTAGGTTCCGACAAAAAAATACTTTCCTTGTCAAGTCAAGTGTGTTTGGCATCAAAAGTCAAACCATTCAGATCTCATTAGACCATGAACTAGGGCATAAAAGTAATTTCAGTGAAATCATTCTCGATATAAACGCTAAAGCACTTTTTCACACATTACACACATTCTCTCAAAGGTCACAAGATCTGACCCTTAATAACATTCTTTATTCTGTAATCGCATTCAAATTTCCATATGGGTTTTTTTTTCTTGATGTATAATTTCCAAATTTCTATATGGATTATTATATAATTTTTTAGTTAATATTACTTTAGTGTATACTCTTGCTTCACTTAATTATTTTGTTCCTCTTCTTGCAGCTGATTGCAACTTTTTGAAGTTTGTAACATAAGAGAATCATGATGTTTCAGCCAAACATGTTTGATAGCCACCATTCCTTGCTGGATATGAGTCATAAAACACCAGAAAATGAGATGGACCATATTAGGGATGATGAATTCGAGAGCAAATCAGTGACTGATGTAATGGAAGCCGCTTCTGGAGATGATGGAGATCCAAATCAACGCCCCAAAAAGAAGCGTTATCATCGCCACACCCAGCATCAAATCACAGAAATGGAAGCGTATGTCAAGTGCCTGGGAAAATTAAATAATTAGGAGAGACAGTATCAATTCATTCTATTTATTTTCACGAAAAAAAAATAATTTTACAGGTTTTTTAAGGAATGCCCTCACCCGGATGATAAACAAAGGAAAGAGCTTGGACGTCAATTAGGGTTGGAGCCTTTACAAGTTAAATTTTGGTTCCAAAACAAGCGCACTCAGATGAAGGTAAAGTGTTTATCTATTCTAAGGCTTAAATTTTTTCACTAACGTTTATCAATCTATTAGTACGTTAATGTATATATATGAGAAGTCCAACTGTGATAGATTTAATACTTTCAGTCTCAACAAGAGCGCCATGAGAACACACAACTGAGGAATGAAAACGAGAAGCTTCGTGCAGAGAACATAAGGTATAAAGAAGCTCTTAGCAATGCTGCTTGTCCTAACTGTGGAGGACCAGCTGCCATTGGCGAGATGTCCTTTGATGAGCAGCATTTGAGGATAGAGAATTCTCGCTTGAGGGAAGAGGTAATAGGAGGAGACTAGATACATTTGAATTACGAAAACTGGTTTTTAATAGGTGTTAAAAGGTTCTTGTTTTATGCATGTATAAATTGATAATCAGTTCGATCAAATTATGTATTTAATAAATGAGCCATTAGGTGTTTTATATGCTGTTTTTAACTTATGTACATGGGTATCCTCTTTCCAGATTGATAGGATATCTGGAATTGCAGCAAAGTATGTTGGGAAACCTATGCTTTCTTATGCACATATTTCTCCTGGATCATCTCGTTCACTTGATCTTGGGACGGTAAATTTTGGGCCGCAGACAGGCATGGCTGGTGAGATATATGGTGCAGCTGATCTACTTAGGTCAGTCTCTGGGCCAACTGATGCCAACAAACCCATTATCATTGAGTTGGCTGTTGCTGCAATGGAAGAATTGATCCGAATGGCCCAATCCGGAGAGCCTTTATGGATACCTAGCACGGACAATTCTGCTGAGACTTTGAGTGAAGAGGAATATGTCCGGACATTCCCTCGAGGGATCGGGCCAAAGCCCTTGGGATTGAAATCTGAGGCATCTCGAGAGTCTGCTGTTGTGATAATGAATCACATCAGCTTGGTCGAGATTCTGATGGATGTGGTAGGATTTCTTGTATGCATATTTGGACATCAGCATATAATTTTTTCTATCATTTTAATCAGCAGTTTTGGTTTCATTGTGATTACAGAATCAATGGACAAGCGTGTTCTCCAGCATTGTCTCAAGAGCGATGACCGTTGAAGTTTTATCAACTGGAGTAGCCGGCAACTATAATGGAGCTTTACAAGTGGTATGCATAAAAATTATTATCTTGACGATTGCTATTCTTCACTGTTTATGAATGGACATTTTCTCCGAAACTACTTTAAATTGTTAATCCTAGTGCTATTATCTTTGTAGATGACTGCTGAGTTCCAGGTCCCTTCCCCATTGGTTCCAACTCGCGAAAACTATTTTGCAAGATACTGCAAACAACATGGTGACGGGACTTGGGCTGTGGTTGATGTTTCTTTGGACAATATAAGACCTACCTCTACATCCAGGTGTAGACGAAGGCCATCTGGTTGTTTGATCCAAGAATTACCAAATGGCTACTCAAAGGTATAACAAATTCTAAAGTTAGTAATATAGGTCCATATATTGCTATTCGTGAATATGCTAACATTTATCTCAGGTTACATGGGTGGAACATGTTGAGGTGGATGATAGATCTGTTCACAGCATCTACAAACCACTGGTCAACTCCGGTCTTGCATTTGGGGCAGGACGCTGGGTAGCGACGTTGGATAGACAATGTGAACGTCTTGCAAGTGTAATGGCTAATAATATGTCAGCAGGAGATGTTGGGGGTACTGACAGTTTTCAATTTTTTACTTTTATCAAAATATTAGATGACATGATTTCTTAAGCCTGTGCTAAATTTTTTATTTTCCGGTCCAGTGATATCGTCTCCAGAAGGTAGAAAGAGTATGTTGAAGCTGGCAGAAAGAATGGTAATGAGCTTCTGCTCTGGTGTCGGTGCTTCAACTGCACACACATGGACAACAATGTCAGGAAGTGGAGCTGATGATGTTAGGGTTATGACCAGAAAGAGCGTGGATGATCCAGGCAGGCCTCCTGGTATTGTGCTAAGTGCTGCTACTTCATTTTGGCTCCCAGTTCCACCAAAAAGAGTTTTCGACTTTCTTCGTGATGAGAATTCAAGAAATGAGGTTTGAACATTTTTTGAGTCCTGAAATTTAAATGTCTTAAGTCAATCTTTGATCTCAAATCACTTCCGCAGCTACAATGATCAAATTAAACACTAAAAATATCTTAACCATTTACAATTTCAGCAGCTTATTCTAGAAGTTACAATGATTCTTGAAGAAATGACTTTACCTATTACTCACATATTTTGCTATATTACAATTACAGTGGGATATTCTTTCTAATGGAGGCCTTGTTCAAGAAATGGCACATATTGCAAATGGCCGTGATCCGGGCAATTCTGTCTCATTACTGCGTGTCAATGTAAGTTGTTGATAAATCTTTCGAGAAGTTTATAATCTGATCCTTTCATATCAGAATTTTTTCTCCCAAATGACTGGACTGTTCTTCATAAACTGTTGAAACTGTAATGTGCAGAGTGCAAACTCAAGCCAAAGCAATATGCTGATACTACAAGAGAGCTGTACTGATGCAACAGGCTCCTATGTTATCTATGCTCCAGTTGATATTGTTGCCATGAATGTGGTCTTAAGCGGCGGTGATCCAGACTATGTTGCCCTCTTACCATCTGGTTTCGCTATTCTTCCTGATGGACCTATGAATCTGGCCGGAGGGATTGATGCTGAGGTTGGGTCCGGCGGATCATTACTCACCGTTGCCTTTCAGATATTGGTAGACTCAGTTCCAACTGCAAAACTTTCTTTGGGTTCAGTCGCAACTGTTAATAGCCTCATCAAGTGCACCGTTGAAAGGATCAAGGGTGCTGTGCTGTGCGAAGGTGCATGACCTAAATGTATGCTTCCTGGTAAGCTTTTCCTTTTAAACTGATTCTCAGCTTAGACAACTAATGTATTCTCCCTTATGACCAGTTCTGAAAACTATCCCTTTAGAGCATTCAGTGCCTGACAGCAGGAAATACTTTTTTAGGTGCCAACGTGGTAAATTTTTGAAGTATTTGCTGCACTCCTAATTCCTAAATAAACCGACATAAAATATCGCAAAAAAAGTAGGCTGACAGCCAGAATTGAAAATTTTACATTGTGAAATATACTTCTGGTTAGGTTATCAACCACAAACGAGGTGTCTTCCCATTTTTTCACCTAAATCTTGACACAGTCAGAACATATGCTTAATTAAATACAGTTCCTTCATTGTGACATCTTCTTATTCTGACATCTTTTTTGTTACTCCTTTCATTGTGCAGTTTAGACTTGAAATGAAGAACAAACGGGAACAAAGGATGTTTACCGTAGGATTTGAGAGAAAGGGAAAGAAAGTCAAGAACGCACCTTGTATGATCCATGCTGTGTAGTGTTAACTATCTTGGATGAAGAAATCATCTTGAGTTTCACCACTCAGCAAGGTTAATATAGGTTCGGGTATTGACTAGACAAAGACATTTTAAGTATATTAAACTCATTTGTACCTTTGTTTTGCTTCAACTTCAGGGTTCTTCTTCTTTCTTTTATTAGTTGTTTCTATTTAAAGAGGTTTAGTTAGCAGACTGGAACCTCAATCTGGATCTATCTAACAGTGTTTTCCTTTCGAAGTGAATTCTTGCTTTAGGAATATTTAAATCTAGTTTTCTTGATTTGAAGGCTGAAGCGAAACTGATTGTAGAAAAGAGGAAATGGGCAACGATAGAATTACTTTCCGGAAATGTTTTATATAAGACTTGTTCACCATGATATATGAAGCAGTTCAAGTTGTAAGTGAAGCAGATAAAATTGAAGTAAATGCCTTAAATTAAACCTCAATTCTTCAAATTTATTCTACTCCAATAGCATACAATCTTGTTGAGTTAATCTGGCTCAAACTGGTTTTGTTGAACTTAGGAGTAAAAAAAGAAAAAAACGAATAGTGTTGATGAATGATTAGGACCGTAAATGAATCGAATATGCGATCTGATCCTATAATTCAATGAATATTTGATTGTTAAATTCAAATCATATTTCCTGTGTTATCGGATATTCGATTCGAAATTAGGAAAATAAAAATCAATGTTGAAATTAACCTTTTTTATTATTTCTTTCCCCAATTTTTTCAACATTTTTAACTTTTAGTCAATTGGATTGAAAAGCACAAAAAGTTGCTTACCAATTTATTGACTCACTCATTTATAGAGGACATCTTCAAGCATTTTTTTTATTATTATAAGTTTTCGATGTGTAAGAATCAATTTGGGTTGATTGTAGTACATTGTATCTTAGATTTGGCTTGTAGCGTATTGTACATTTAGTTTGAATATAGTATATTGTACTATTATATAAACAGTTATTTATATATTTATTAAATTAATCGTTTTCCCTATTTTTTACTGATTAATAAAAATTTGAAACTCCAAATATTTGAATTAACACTATTATACTATATCTTATTTATCAAATATATTTTTTTTGTTAAGCTTTTAAAATTGCATTTGATACTATAATTTTTATTTATTATTAAATATTTTTTAGATAGATTAAAAAATTAAAATAAGAAAATACTTTTTTTTTACGTCTAGACTCTCTTAACCTGAAATTTTCACGTTTTTTAGAACACGGTATACATGAGAATTGGCTTTCTTATTTTCTTTTTATATTTGTATTTGATGACTTCTTTATTCTAGAATTCTTTATTTTCTTATTTATTTATTTTAGTGACAAATAACATACTATAAAAATATTTAATTGACTTTGCTGTGTATAACAAATCAGATCAGGTTATTATCGGATCGGATTGAACTATATCCATATTTGATCCATTTAGTTAAAAAATTATCGGATTCGGATCTTGATCGAGTTATCGAACTAAGATCATAAGTGCATCTCCCATTAATTTCATCAGATTTAGATCAAAATCAAATCTATTGACAATTCTATCTACCATACCATGGACTTTCCACTAAGAACTGATGCCAAAACTCCGGTAATTGTTTTCCAGATTTATGCCATTACCATATATCGTCCAGAAAGACTATTTCTGAGGGATAAAGAAGCCAATATGTAAATCACAATTAATTCAGTGGCAGTGAGAGATATAGCAAGTAGCAACTTGTACTAAGTAATAATTATTTTCTTGAATTATGTGACCTCTGCCAACCTAAACTTAATGCAAATAGAAAATGAGTTGTTGAAACATTAAAATAACCTGAAATGGCATGTCGCCTAGTTACTGGAAAGTTTTCAATTATCCCTAGTAAAAATGAATTAAAATAGTAACCTAAAAGATATGCTCATATGAAAACTCGAAAGTTTGCATAAACATAAAGAAACAACAGCAATTTAGCTGAAAATCATATATAGGTTAACACATAATCTGCTTACCAATATTTGTACCCTATGATTAGCACTCATTGAGCAAGACTCCATGCGAAATCTCATGCAAATTCAACTAATTTCCTTTTTATTGATATGTTATATACGTTATGTTTGTCCTCAATATTACTTGTAAATGCAATACAGATTCATTAGAATGACTTGATCGTCTTAGTAGATTCGTTAGGCATATAGAATCATATCACATTGAAATCCTCATAGTCTATAATTAACTATCTAGCAACCATCGTAGTCGTGTTATTTGGGATGGACAATGTCATGTATGGCATTCATGAGGAGGTTTCCTGACGTACAGACATAGGAATTCATGAGTTCTGAGACCAGAGAGGCCGGACAATAGAGCACTTTGGAAGATCTCTCCAACGTGTAGGATTCGGGTTGGAATAATGAAATGAATACATATAAATGAGGTGGATGGTACAATTTCAGATCAAAGTAGAACAAAATAAAGTAGCAATTTTGGGAGGAAGAGAGAAGCTAGTTATTACCAAGTAAAATAATGGAAATGAAGGGTAAAATATTTGCATACTCTTTCAGGTAAATGGAAGGGGAAAAAAAAAAACCTTTTGCACTGAGAATTGTGTAGTCTGTTATTATGTTTTAACTTTTAAAAATTATTAGTAGAAAGTTTAATCAATCTTAGAAAGTGGGATTGTTAAGCAATGAAATACTCTTAATGTAAATTCAATTTTATGGCCTACTAATCACTGTTACAACATTCGTGGCACAGCTATGAGCTTTTTGCTTCCAGACGAAGCACATCTCACTCAACTACTAAATCACATTCCCTAAGGCAGTTTTGGTGTATACGTCTCACATTTCGTCTGAAGGCCAACAAGTCGGACACTCTTACCTAACAAGTGCCTAGCACAGCGTTAATTTGTCTTTGATCCAAGATCGATATCATCATCAGGAGTACCGTCTTGGAGAGGAATGATAGAGAATGGGAATATGGGATTCTCCTCCATTGACTCATCATAACAAGTAACATTATTCGAATTCAATTGGATTTTATTTTTTTTCAACTGTATCATTTGATTCCTAGACTTCAGCTTCCATGTGTGTGTGTGTGTGTGGAATCACTAATATCAGCCCAACACTTGAATATCTAAAACACATACATTATCAATCAAATGCAGCATTTGATGGTGGCTTACTGACTACTGTTAACTAAATGGAGAATAGTAATGTTGGGAAATCAATTAATTTTAGCAATAGAAGATCAACTATAACTTTTCTGAATTGTCGGAAGAAATTTAAGAAGGATGCCGTACCTGTATAGTTGCAAAACTGAGCAGGATCATCATAGAAAAAGTGAAACAAATGCATTAATATTGCGGACAGATTTTACACCAAAAGCTTGGGGGAAGAGAATGCGATTTCTGCTGCCATAAGAACTTTTTTTCTTGAGATCAAGAAAGTACGTACAGAAATATTTAAAATGGTGGCTGCAGAATTTGGTAATTTCATGGAAACATTTGAGAAAAAGAAGATAGTTAGGTATAGATTTGATATCATTGGAGCCCACGTCGTTGGGCTCTTTAATTCGGTATTTAAAATATTAAATGGCGAGTCTGATTACTTCTTAGAATTTATCAGGCTCTGAATTTCGAAAGATATTTATAGGCGCTGGTTTCTTCTTTTATGAATACAATTAATTCATTCGCAACTAATCCAATTAATAAAAATAAAGCTAGTTTGTGGTAAGCCGATTCTTATTTTGATTACGTAAAAATTCGAAGCACGCTTACGCATGAATTTCGAGTCATGATGCTTATTTGAATTGATGAATTCTAAGATCTTTATGTGGTTGTATTACCTTGCTTTTCAAGCATCAAATTTTGTATTTTCTAGCACTCCAATAGTCTCAATCCCGATCATAATGGAAATAGATTATTACCAAGTACCAATTTTTGTGGGTTTTAATGACATATTTATGATTCTAGGCATTTTTCAATTCATGTATGTTTTTTATATGAATTTCACATATTTTATTTTATTTTTGTCAACTTTTTCTCTCATAATACAATTCTAAGTGATGGGAGCTATTTTAAAATTATGGAAATGGATGGAAGTTATGAGTTTGAATTCACCCCCTCCAGTTTACTTTAATAAGTTGTGGATCGAATCACTTTACATAGTGGGTCGGCCCTGAAAATTTTGAGACTCTAGACGATAAATTATTATGAGACCCCTCACATAATTTTTTCACAAGTGTATTAGTATCGAATATGGTCGAATCAAATAATTTTTCGTGATGAGAAATACTATATCAATGGTACTCAGTCACTGTTTGATTCTTCCAAAAATCAATTCTCGTGTTCAAAAAATAGAATACAAAGGGCTTTGGAAATCAGTTTAGTGTGAAATGGTGACTATCATTTATTGTCCAAAACATCCTATATTTAAAAATATAAAAAATAAAAACAGCAATCACAATAGAAATAAAAGAAATTGAATTATGATCCATGTAGAAGTTTACTTACCTTCATGATGTAACACCACAATAGAAGATGATTCATTTTTTTTTAGGCCCCTCATGATAAGAGGCACAAGGCCAGCAGTGGCCTTGGGCCATAACCGAGCCGATAACTCACAACCCGTACTTTTCACCAGATTATTTATATTATCTTTTATGTGTTGAAATTTAAATTATATTTAGAAAATAAATAAGAACATACATGGGAAATGAAGATATTTTAATTCTCATTCTGCCTTGTCGCCATCCATGGTTGTGGGAAATGAAGATATTTTAATTCTCGTTCTGCCTTGTCGCCATCCATAGTTTGTGTGATACTTTATTCTCGTTGCAGAAATGAGGTTATGTAAAATATCTACAGAGTAAGTTTTGCTTTCAAAAAGAAGTAAGTTTTTCATTATTCTAAATTAACAAGTAACGTATAAGTATATCAAAAGCAAGTCTATCCAAACATGTCATTACTACAAAAGACAGGGAGATAAGATTAGGGCTAGCAAGGGAAGATGAACTTAA